AGCTTCGCAAACATTTCTATGTTCAGCGACGGGATCTTCAACTCTAGTTTAATTAAACTTAATTAAAGTGCAATTCTCCATTGTATTGCATTGTAATTGAGTTTAATTAAACTCCAATTAAAACGCAACCCTATATAGGAACGCGTTTTAATCGAGTTCATATCGCAACTATATTAAAAGTTAATTCAACGATATTAAAAGTTAATCCAATGGTGGCTCCACAATTCATGGGACACCTGTGTGTTTGAGTGTACGTACCGTTGGCACTTGTATCATAGACAGAGTGTGAGTTCATCGTTAATTTTCGCCTAACCGCGTTGATTTCAGTGTTTGATTTGAAGAGAAAATTCTACGTAAAGTAACTAAGTACCCCGGGCTAAATACTCGAACAGGTTCTTCTCGTCCTCGAGAACATTCGGCCAGAAACATATACCAAGGTATATATAACTTAGGTAATTCTGAGTACTGCAGTACCTTGATAGTTCGTTTACCTTTATCGCCCAACCCAATGGCTGAATGCAATGACATTGTTGTCTCAACGTTTTGACTGAACACAAATGCATTGTACGGGGTGTGTATTACGCCCTGTAGTGTAAACAAAGTTGATCCTGCTGATCATCAATCATTGGTAAATTGTGTCATCTTCCCACGATGGAGCTAAAACACAAGCTTCAAGGTTCTACTTACAGTTTGGTGCTTTAGCAGTGGACGTCACGTGACCCTCCCTCACTGTGCATCTTTTCCAGCGCAGCACATTAGAGATGAAATAATTAACTTGAATCTATAAAACATATTTTAGTCATTAAAATGTCATACCCACCATCGGACCTATAAAGTGGTCTGAACCCCTAACAAAAATGTGTTCTCAAAAGAGAGTTTTATCTTTCCTTCTTAATTTTGTGTCTAGTATTTTTGTCTTTTTATGCAATTGATCGCAAATGCTATATTCCGTATATATCAGATTCTACTCTATTGTAGTATATTGTATTATATTCTACTTTATTGTATTCTATTCTATTTTATTCTATTGGGTAAATCACAAAGACTTCTGTTGAATTACTTTCCCATCGCCGTAGCAAACACAAAACCAAAAAGGGCGCGGCAAAGTAGAGTCGTATTTGTTAATGATGTGAGGAGATGTGTAATTTATATATAAATTTCATTAAAAAAAATTTTTAAAGTATAAATATATTTTATTTTTGTTGTTGTTGTTGTTGCTTAATGAAATCAATCTGATCAAGTTCACGTCTTCAGTATCCCAAATGGAAAACGCACAATGACAATGTCTTTGTACGTATCTTCTCAAAATAAAAAAATAAACATTAGCTTGTTTGCCTTAGAATGTGGTGATTAACTTTAGAAATTAACAATCTGTATGCAAAAGAACAAAAATCGTTGCTAATAATACCGCCGACATTTCTTTAAATATTTTATGCTAGATTATTAAAAACAGTTGGTACACGGAGATATGATAACGTGAATGTTAAACTAAGACTAAACAAGCTCATATTAGGCTTAGACTGGGGCAGGGTGAAGTATACTCAATCCTAATTCAGTGTAAATATATCATATAAACAAAAAAACAGTTTCAAAATTTATTGTGTATGAATTACATATTTGAAGAACCTGATTTTGACAACTAAAGACAACACGACACTAATATTGAGTGAGAAAGCATTTTCAATATAAAAAAGACAAAATAAAAATATTACGCCAACTGCATCGAAAAAATGTTGTTTTTTCTCCAAATATATAATAAATAAATCTATTTATATTTATTTGAATATGAGTGTCAACATGTTTACTGGTTCTTCGTCGTACACAACATTATACAGAGTTTTCGGTACACAAATTTTCATATAAAGATGATCGAATAACCTTATATTGTCAATTAACATGAATGCGGTCATTTTAAACTTGGCCGAACTGGGTGCGACTCGAAACTGTTCCGTAAAGGCCATTTAAATACATGAAAACATGAAAGACTTTCCGTGGATACCAAGAATGTTGATGTAAATAAGCATAACGCTCCCTTTACCTACGTAGAATGTGTTGTAGATTGTAAGTGGAATGTTTTTTTCAGTGCTTATTAAATGACGGTAATTGAAACCCGTATCTGAATACCCTTCATTATACGACAATGACTTGCTATGGTCGTCTGTCTTTGTCGATTGTGGGCATGCGTAGACAGGTAGATTGACGTCATACGTCATTTGTATAGAAAACGCTTTTGAAATTGCACGTTCAATACACGTACTGAATAATAATAACTCTCACAATACAATTGAGGTCAAACATACAAGATGGCGGCAGCAAAAATGGTTGCCATGCAGCTTGGTTGTGTGGTTATTTTCTTTTTAGGTGAGTATTGCTTGTTCATAGCTAAAAACATGTTTTTAACATTGCCACAAATAGAATACTAGTATAGCCAAATAATACGTCGCATCTCTAACGGCGATACAACGCGAAAATCGTTACCTATTAGCAGTGGCGTCGGAGAGTCACTCACTGGTTGACTTTCTAATGAGCGACTATGACAGCAAGGTATGTTCTACGAGAGAGAGAGAACAAACTACCATACACTGATCATTCTATATCATGGATTGGGGAAGGGTGTGTATTAACAAATTGCAACAACTGAATTTTAATATCCTTATGATCGAGATCATAGTGGGGTAGAGGATGTGTGTGTTCACAAATTGAAACAACTGAATTTTAATATTGTTATGATCGAGATCATAGTGGGGGTAGAGGATGGGTGTGTTCACAAATTGAAACAACTGAATTTTAATATCGTTACGATCGAGATCATAGTGGGGTAGAGGATGTGTGTGTTCACAAATTGAAACAACTGAATTTTAATATCGTTATGATCGAGATCATAGTGGGGGTAGTGGATGGGTGTGTTCACAAATTGCAACAACTGAATTTTAATATCCTTATGATCGAGATCATAGTGGGGTAGAGTACGTGTGTGTTCGCAAATTGCAAAACTGAATTTTAATATCGTTACGATCGAGATCATAGTGGGGTAGAGGATGTGTGTGTTCACAAATTGAAACAACTGAATTTTAATATTGTTATGATCGAGATCATAGTGGGGGTAGAGGGTGGGTGTGTTCACAAATTGAAACAACTGAATTTTAATATCGTTACGATCGAGATCATAGTGGGGTAGAGGATGTGTGTGTTCACAAATTGAAACAACTGAATTTTAATATCGTTATGATCGAGATCATAGTGGGGGTAGAGGATGGGTGTGTTCACAAATTGAAACAACTGAATTTTAATATCGTTTTGATCGAGATCATAGTGGGGTAGAGGATGTGTGTGTTCACAAATTGAAACAACTGAATTTTAATATCGTTATGATCGAGATCATAATGGGGTAGAGGATGTGTGTTCGCAAATTGAAACAACTGAATTTTAATATCGTTATGATCGAGATCATAGTGGGGTAGAGGATGTGTGTGTTCACAAATTGAAACAACTGAATTTTATTATCCTTATGATCGAGATCATAGTGGGGTAGAGGATGTGTGTGTTCACAAATTGAAACAACTGAATTTTATTATCCTTATGATCGAGATCATAGTGGGGTACAGGATGTGTGTGTTCACAAATTGAAACAACTGAATTTTATTATCCTTATGATCGAGATCATAGTGGGGTACAGGATGTGTGTGTTCACAAATTGAAACAACTGAATTTTATTACCCTTGTGATCGAGATCATAGTGGGGTAGAGGATGTGTGTGTTCACAAATTAAAACAACTTAATTTTAATATCGTTATGATCGAGATCATAGTGAGGTAGAGGATGTGTGTGTTCGCTAATTGAAACAACTGAATTTTAATATCGTTGTGATCGTGATCATAGTGGGGTAGAGGATGTGTGTGTTCGCAAATTGAAACAACTGAATTTTAATATCGTTATGATCGAGATCATAGTGGGGTAGAAGATGTGTGTGTTCACAAATTGAAACAACTGAATTTTATTATCCTTATGATCGAGATCATAGTGGGGTAGAGGATGTGTGTGTTCACAGATTGCAACAACTTAATTTTAATATCGTTATGATCGAGATCATAGTGGGGTAGAGGATGTGTGTGTTCTCAAATTGAAACAACTGAATTTTAATATCGTTATGATAGAGATCATAGTGGGGTAGAGGATGTGTGTGCTCGCAAATTGAAACAACTGAATTTTAATATCGTTATGATCGAGATCATAGTGGGGTAGAAGATGTGTGTGTTCACAAACTGAAACAACTGAATTTTATTATCCTTATGATCGAGATCATAGTGGGGTAGAGGATGTGTGTGTTCACAAATTGCATATCTACATGGGCGACATCGTGAATAGGTTTGGACATGTTTACTCACAAATTGTAATAATCGATCCCCATGACAGAAATAAGATGCATAAAAAAGGTGTATTCAGAAATTTAATAACTCATCATAATACTGGATCACCATGGCCAGGATGAGAGCTGGGGAAGGTGTATGTTCGTTGAAGATGATGTGTAATATAGCACTTGGAATATATGTAATATAAATATTTGTAAAATGATCCTCAAATCAAGCAATCATTTCATCTTGCTTTAGGTCATCTTCAAATCAGCAATGGACAAAGGAACGTTTCAGGTACGTATCATAATAAATGTCACGTGTCACGATTATCCGTCATGAAGTCATTCAGCTGTGGGTCCATAACTCTTCTTGTGTTGGTATTTTACTCATTTCTCATACACTACTATTTTCAGGCAGAATTTGTATCGACACAAAAGAGCTATGGTCCCTCCCATGGCATTTGTGTTTATACGCAAGTCTAGGGGAGGAACCATAGCTCTTCTGTACTACTATTTCAACTATCCATTGTTCTATGTTATGTATATGTTATACTTACCACGTATGTATTTCAGTGTCAAGTTCAGATCAAGGCTATTGTGAGAGTTATTACAACATTTACGGTGTAGAGCAGCAGGGTTTCTATTGCCCACAGGAATACGACCTGCCATCTGAAACGTATTGTTGTGGAGAAGGTTTCCGATATTGCTGTGACTATGATACTTATCAATCAAGCAGCAAAGTCAACTTGGATTTCAATTGGAACAATAACAATAATTCATTGAATGATTTGGTCAATGATTTCACTGAAATGGGAAATGTGATGGCTACAAGGTATGTAGACAATTTCCCAATACAAATATCGCCACACATTCTGAATGTACTGTTTTTACATCTTTGCAACTTCTGGCGGTAAGACCATGTTAAATCGATCTTAATCTGATTTTAATCTATCTCGTGACTAAAAATAATTCATGTCGTGGAATTGTCATCCAAATATATCTACTGAAATGTTGCTGAAATCGCTGTTGTAAATAAATACGTAGATAAATAAATAAATAAATAAATAAATAAATAAATAAATAAATAAATAAATAAATAAATAAATAAATAAATAAATAAATAAATAAATAAATAAATAAATAAATAAATAAATAAACCAATAAATCAATCAATCAATCAATTCCGTTCTTCGTTATATGGCGGTAATGTATATGCCAATATATTGTTATTTCTTTTTTTTGTAGCATATTGACTATCGTGGGTGTAATATGTGGCATAATTGCTATTATTATTATAATTGTCGTGATCGTGGGAGTATTGATCTGCACTGGCGTATGTTGTCGAACATCAACCCATGATACCACAATTATACGTAAGTATATAATTCATGTGTTTGTAGTATAAATATTCTCTTTGGTGGTCATGCAACTTCATTGCTCGGTAGCTGGCTTGGCTATTGGTTACATAACCTTTGTGGCTTGATGAGTAGTTCTGCAAACTTGTTTGTGGCTTGATTGGTAGTTACGTAACCTTTTTCAAAACAGTGTTTTACAACTTGTTATTGTTACAGTATTAGAGCACATTATTATAATATTGGAATAAATTATTAAAGTACTATTTCAGTACCTTGTTATAAGTATTAGAGTAAATTATTTATTCATAGAATAAATGTTTGTCAATTACAAACGGTATTTGAATCAGTATATTGTGTTTTACGCTGCAGGTAATTCAGCTCCACCACCGACGGCAGTTGTAACATCATCTCAAATGTACGCAGCGGGGACGCCTCAGGCTCAAACTATGGTGTATCAACAACCACTACCAGCATATTATCCACCACAGCAACAACATATGGTTTATACTTCGTATTCACAGGCGCCCTCATCGACTGCTTACACTGTAAAAGTTTAGATAAGCTGTCATATTGCTGCAGTGACAATCCTTCCCCTGGGAGGCAGGGTTGATGTGGTGACAACCCTCCTCTCGGGAGGCGGATTTGATGTAGTAAAAGACTGTTTTCTATATTAATGAATGAAATTATGTCGTTTAATGACTGGCCTATATATATATGTATATATATAATAAGTTGCTGAAAACGCTGATTTTTTATTTCATTTATCGATATGCCGTGTTCTTGACCATATTTTCATATTAACATTACTAGCTCTGCTTGCATTTGAACTTTCTTGTTGACATAACACAATATAGTCCCTGAATGAGAACTACCAATGTCTGCGGTATCGTGGAACTTTACAGAGATGTGGATTATGAACGTTATATTTGATTGTATAGCATGAAATATTTTTATTTCCTATGAATAATTCATGTAAATGATATGGTCCGATATATTACGAGACTTTTGGCAGTTCTGTGTGTGTTCATACCTCTTTCGTACACAAGGCTTCATGACGTTGTTGTATTTACTATTTCATAGACAAGTTGTTTAGTGTTTCAATGTAGTGATACTGTTCATGTCGTCAGGTAATCTAAGATACTTATCAGTTGCATTTTATTATTTTTATTACTTACAAAATCTCATTCTGTTCTTGTAAATCTGTTTTATGTCTATTCCAATGTTTGTATTTGTGATCTTTATTAACGCTTGTGTAGTATGTATACCATAATGTCCGACTGAGTAGTGTTCGTTCGGATATTGGCCAATATGAGACCACAAACACGAGTACATGGTAACTGACATTGAATTCCTGGTAGATCAAATGACAAGATGCCAGAGGCGTTACTTTTCGGAACATATCAACATTTGGTATTTTCTATAAATATGTATAGCACTGCCCGTGATCTAAAACCATGAAGCAAAATCATCTAACTCTTTGTTCTCGCAGCGTATTCTCATGATTGTTGGATTCTCGCGAGATCACACAGAGAGATATGTTTTGTGGGCCTGCATTGCATAGTGAGTATCTTAGCAACTGCGTATTATCAGAGTCACCCGCAAATTAGAATGCGATTCTAATAATACCCCCAATAAAAGTACCAGGTTTTTAGAGGTCTGGATTTGAGTCGATGAATCATGAGTGAAATTTCAGGTGCATTATAAGATATATTGTACATTATAAGGTATATTGTACAGTATAAGGTATATTGTACATTATAAGGTATATTGTACAGTATAAGGTATATTGTACAGTATAAGGTATATTGTACATTATAAGGTATATTGTACAGTATAATGTATATTGTACAGTATAAGGTATATTGTACATTATAAGGTATATTGTACAGTATAAGGTATATTGTACAGTATAAGGTATATTGTACAGTATAAGGTATATTGTACAGTATAAGGTATATATATATTGTACAGCACACGTAATAATATATTGTTAATTGAACTCGTATCCTCAGTGGGATTTTGATTACATGACAATACAGAACGACAGAAAGATAAAGGAAAATCTCAACAGAATAAGAATTGACACATTTTCGTATATGATATCAGTTATCAATTTACAGATTTCTCTGATTAGCTTATTATTTTAGTTTGTTGGTAAGATAATCATTTTGTCTGATAATTTTGCATACTTGGCTCATTAAATAAATCCAGCCTTTATTTTTATTGTTTGCATCTGATAAGAAAATGCTCCTCGTCTTCTAATGAGTTTGTATTGCATATAGGACATGTTCTATTTCGGTGTGTATGTTAGAATATGTCATATATGCAAATTAATTAGCAGTATGTGAGTTTTGGCGCCCTCTCCTGTCTCGCAGGGGAGCACCGCTATAATTACAGTTAAGAGTTCTATAATCGTCAATCTTGCTCCATTCTGCATGATATGGATGTGTAGCTAACTCATATCTTCAATGTCGCCAGTTGGGGATGATTTCAAGGGTTGACTTATATTGCCACGAGAGGGCGATATCCAGGCAAAACTACAATAATACACGTGTGGATGGAAAGGGTTCACACGAACACGAACGCACAGCTACACGACTGAATGTCAAATAATTCAAATCTACAGTTAGTTGTGTATTATTACAGTTGTAAGTTTAACACATCGTCATGGTAACATCAAATGTGTCATTGAAATGTTTTACTTAATATATGTCTTTTTAAATGGGTTTTAAAATTAAGATTGATATTACTCGTTTGTTTTCCTGACAATAAATACGTCTGTCTATCAGCTCGTTTCGTACTTCTGTGCTGGTGTTGAAATCCAGAGCCTGTACATCAAATGTATGTCAACCCAAGCCGTTAAATAAAATGTATACTTAAATTTAAACACTATCTGTCACTTATTTTTCCCTGGGGAATAAGTGCATGCTGGGAAAGGTTATAAATCGTCTCCACCAAAGCCTGAATTGAATGGAAGAGACTGGCGCATTCTTCTCCCTGCCATACGTTGGCGAGTAAAACACAAACATAAAAACATTCATCGCGAATTTGTTTCCGTATTTTAATGTACTTCACGTATTTGATAATTACTAGTATCGGTACACAATCAGTCTTGTTCTTTTGAATAAAACGAACCTTGCCATAAATGCAGGTGATTTAGAGCGAATAAAACAAGAAGGAAGTCCAGGTGACATATGTCACGTGATGCTGATTGTCCAATGGTCGGTGAATGTATAGAAGTGAGAGTAATACATGTATATATAAATAAGCTGCCAGTGCTGTAACGCATTTTCCCAAAATGGCCACTGAGGTTTCAGGCAACATGTCGATCGTTTGCATACTATTATTTTTTGCTGTGACGGGTAAGTAAACAACGTGTTTTTATTTTTCTTCCGATCTGAGACTTTAGGTTGATCACATAAAAAATACCAACAATGGCGGAGGCCGATGATTGTGGTCTATTAGTAACGACAAGACTGACGCTTAACATGCGTGTATGGAACTATCGGCTTTACTAGTGTGGATTGTAGTTATTTCGGGGATTGATCATGGCAATTAATCCCATACATGATCCCCTCAAAATTGTTAATAGTACATGGCATGTCTGTAAAATATGGCGAAATGTGCGGGGCGGGAAGAGTCACAATTTACCTCAAATATATGGAGTTGAAATGAGGTCAAACGTCGCAAATCTAATGAGGTGTATTCTATCCACGGTGATGTATTGTTTTGTTTGTTTGCGTGAGCTTCTCTATCCGGTACGGTACGGTTGATGTGTACAATGGTACTCACAGCTCAGTTACACCGTAAGCTTAATTATAATTAAAGTACAAGTTTCAAATCACAAAACTATTTGACGACATTATAGATTCGGGGACCGAACGCCAGCAAAATGTGACACATTAGAAGAAGAAATACGCTATACGAGTGTTTTGAGAATACTAGTATCGGATTGTGTAGTATGTATATAACGATGAGATATATCAACTACATACCATGTTTTTTTCACATAGTACATGCGTATTACTGTCCTGGTTTCCTTGACAACGCGGGAGTATGGCGGAGTGGTTTCTTTTGTCCTCTAGAGTACAACTCTCCCAATTATATGTATTGTTGCGGACAAACATATACTCGGTACTGCTGTGATTACGATGACCATCAACGTGAACAAGATACAAGCAATAAAGCGACACAGGGGATCTATGGCAACGGTCTGACGGGGAACAATATCGCTGATAACATAACTTCCACGCACATGTTTAATGGCTTCCATGGTTCTACAGAGGAAGAAGAAGGGGTTGTTGAGTATGTATTCTAATTACTCCAATGTTTAATGATGAATTACATACTATTATAATCTATTTTATTACAGTCTGTAATTTTTTGTATGTTTTATATTGTATAGCGTTGGAGTTATAATTGGTATAATATGTGGTGTTTTTGGATTCATCGTTGTCATTACTATTACAATTGCGGGTGTCCTTATCTACACCGGGATCTGCTGTTCTTCATCCTCGTCCGACACGTCTGCAATTATCCGTAAGTAAAAAAAATAGAATATTGTTTCTACATCCTCTACGATTCGTTTCAAAACATCTTGGGACAAGCCTGTTATTTCATAACGATTTTGAATTCTTTGAAAATTCATTTAATTTATTATCACAATAGATGTTAATTTCTGATGACCACAATGCAACTGTAAACAACTGTTTCGTTCGTTAGTTACATTCTAGCCATCATTTCACGTTCGTGATGTTTTTTCCCTAGAACATGAAGCCTCACCAGCATCTGGTTGTACGGCCAACATCACGATGGAACAGCTACAAGGATCTCCTTACCGACAACTGCATGTGTCAACTTTAAGTTCACCAATGTGTGAACAGCAACAAGAGAAACATATATCCCCGTCGCCACAGCAACAACAACATCAGCAACATACGTCACCGATTCCACCAACTGCGCCATTGCCGTCACCACCGCCATTGCAACAACAACAACAACAACAACATGAAAGGCAACAGCAAGAAGAACAACTACAAACCGACTTTTTCCATGCGCAATTACCTCCGCCATATACAACCAGACCAATGCGTATTGTTTAGTCCACATCCGGGGTATAGTGTTCACGCTGTGTCGATGCACTTGTCTAAACATTGTAAATTAAGTATGGACATGAACCCCTTTTATACTGCTTCGATATTTCATCAATATAAAAGCTTATTATTCAAGGTGTGACGCAATAATCAGCACATTTACAGTATTATTTTCACTTGAACCGAATTAATTGATTGACGTTGTTCAGCCTTCTGTCGTTTTGACATGGTAATTTCATCATTAATATAACTATTATTAGTTGCAAAGGCTACTGGAATATGATAACTAGACACAATGCCGCCCGGTTCCACTGTAGTGAATATAATGGACAGGGGGGGAATATAAATGGACTTGCATAAAAACATTGCGGCGTTTCTTCTTGCATTGTTGCGATGTGCTCAATTTCACACAAATATGCTGGTTCGTCAAAATACTAGACTATGAAATATATATCTCTGCTTTAAGCGTAAATAAAACGCGGACTATTTTGCATATTTAACGAACTTATTTATACATTTGTATTCATGTAACCATATAATTACTGTTACACGCTGACTCATTTACATTTTTGTACAAAATAAAAACAATTTAAACCAAATAACGGCTGTTCGTTAAATAATTCACACTTACAGTCACGGTGACCGCCTATAAATTCCGACCAGCTATAATCAATACAAATATTCTAGACAGCTCCATTTTGGAAGAGGTGGGGCAACTCATTCACCATTATATAATCTGATGTTCATCCCACATTTTTTTTAAATGTACATCATGTCTATAAGAAGTAAAATATATTAAATATGACCTAACAATTGCCCGATCGGTTTAAGCATAAAAAAGGTTTGAAACCTGGGTCAACTTCAGTACATTTCGGTAAATTAAAATACATACTTACCCATAGATAAAATAGAACAATCTGGATTGTATTTATGTTTGGCATATCATTCTACATAACGGGAACGAATGATTCAAGTGTCTCGGACTGATAGCAACTTTGATCACGTCTTTCTCAGTTTGTCCAATATATGCACTCATTAAGGTGATTTTATTGACGGTTATTTTTATGGTTAAGTATTCTCAAGCGACATTGGATACCAACATAAAATGTTCCTTTGTAAACCAGGTGGGTTTGCAGCGGTGTGAATACAGTTCCAGTAATTGGTCTATACGCACGTGAATGCAAGTTGTTAGCCAATTACATGTCGTGACACAGATGTTGATTGGCGTATTTTGTGCGTAGAAAAACTGTTGTTTTGGTGGTCTCTCTTCGGAGGCAACGACACAGTCAAGTCCAAAAGATGACTAATATATTGTTTGTGGCGATGGTCTGCATCTTAGTTGTCGTAAAAGGTAAGTCATACATCGAATTTAGGTCCAACTTCGCTCAGAGCGAATATATTTAACCCGTTACAGTAGTAGATTGCAATGAATAGGTCAGCTACTCCCTAATATAATCATTCGCTTGATGCTGCTTTATTGTAGTAGTTACTGAATAAATACCTAGTGGGTAGATATCTCCTAATTTTTAAATTTACAATTTTACAGTCTAAATAAGGACAGTATACTGTAAAACATGTTAATTTAGCTAATCTGTAATTTCGCTAATTCAAGATGTCACTAATTTAAAATAAAGTATATTCTCACAATGAGATTGTTGACACTTTATCTAAATCAAAATTTGGTTAATTCATGCACGAGTCAAATTCGCCAAAATTGCATGTAGCTTTTTAAACATGTTTACGAGGTTGGTCACACTGTTTGGCTATAATTTCGAATCTATTTACGAATAGTGCGGTTTGTTATTACGCCATCATAATATACTTTCAGGGACCCCACGTGATCTACAGTTTCACTTTAAATTCATAAATGAACTATTTACTCGTACAATTGTCTATTCAACAGAGGCAAAAAACGACCGCTGTACTGGTTACGTTGATATCTTGGGAAACCAAAAGAATGGCTTTGACTGTCCCAGCATTATTCAGGATGATTGGGACGATGATAAATACTGCTGTGGTACTTATAATTATAAATATTGTTGTGATTACATTACTTGGCTAACTGCCAAATTCCAAGATGACGACGTGATATTGCCATCGCCAATGTAAGTATGGCAAACATAAGATATGGCTTGGTGTCGCTGTCACTTGTAAATGAGCCGTGCAACATACTGGCACCAACAAGACGTTATCTTTTGAAAGCTTTTGGTGCGTACTTTTGATAGTGTCTGCTGGACATGTCAAATCAGTAGCTTATTTAATATTTGGAGGGGTTAAAGTTCACTTGACTATATAAATTGTGATTTTATTTGTTAAAGCCACTTGTATATTGTAAATTACTTTATTTGTGCTTGTCAAAACAAGCTGAAATGAACACAAATACTGGACAAAATACGCGTTCTCTTACGAACAAAAAAATAACATTAAATATGGCAAAATTAACTCAATATGCTTAATATTTATATTTGAAGGTCCAGTATAATGGTTGGAATACTGATTGGTGTGTTAATAATTGTTGTCGTGGTTATTATTGTTATCATCATGTGTGCTAGCAGCACAAAAAGGTCGCAGAAGAGAAAAAGAGTTGATATTATAACTTCACGTAAGTTTACAATATGTATTGTTACGAGTATACATCACGTAAGGTTACAATACGTATTGTTACGAGTATACATCGCGTAAGGTAACAATACGTATTGTTGCGAGTATACATCACGTAAGGTTACAAAACCGTATTCAATATACGTTACGAGTATACATCTCGTGGGGGATAATGCGTATTTAATACACGTAACGAGTATACATCATGTAAGGTTACACATCCGTATTCAATATACGTTACGAGTATTCATCTCGTGGGGGATAATGCGTATTTAATACACGTAACGAGTATACATCACGTAAGGTTACAAAACCGTATTCAATATACGTTACGAGTATTCATCTCGTGGGGGATAATGCGTATTTAATACACGTAACGAGTATACATCACGTAAGGTTACAAAACCGTATTCAATATACGTTACGAGTATACATCTCGTGGGGGATAATGCGTATTTAATACACGTCACGAGTATACATCACGTAAGGTTACAAAACCGTATTCAATATACGTTACGAGTATTCATCTCGTGGGGGATAATGCGTATTTAATACACGTCACGAGTATACATCACGTAAGGTTACAAAACCGTATTCAATATACGTTACGAGTATTCATCTCGTGGGGGATAATGCGTATTTAATACACGTAACGAGTATACATCACGTAAGGTTACAAAACCGTATTCAATGTACGTTACGAGTATACATCTTGTGGATGATAATGCGTATTTAATACACGTAACGGTACATACACTTAAAGGGGCACTTTCAGTTAAGCCTATTCTCACAACAAATTTACTTCCTAGATTAAAATTACCATGGATAACAAAAGATAGATTAACTTTGTAAACAACATAAACAATAGTGTCCCATGATTCTTTGGTGCAATCCATGGGATTGAGCGGTTCCCGATTGAAGTCATACTACAAACTTTGGTGTTTCGGTCAATACATAAATGAATGAATGAAAATCTTATCTAACATCACAGGGAGTTGAACAAACTTGTGTATTTTAATAAATTATTAAATAATAAAATGTTATATAACTTTTTTTTTACCCCTTTCCTGGTATCGATTTCAAGTAATCACTGATCTTTGTTTATACCACTCTTTCCTTCATCACAATTTTGTTACGCGCTAATTTTATATGTAAATTTTAACGCGCGATGTAGACACACCCTATTTTAGATTAGGGCGTGTCTACAACGCGCGTTAAAATTTGCATATAATATTAGCGCGTAACAATTTTTTTTAAAGTTGTGATAAAGGAA